TGTATAAGAGACAGGGTTTTAAACTTTTGCCTGTTGGCAATGACAAATGTATTCATCTGATTAGTAACTGTCTTAAGTTTATTTTTCTAATATTACAAGCTGAAAATGTAATAGGACACAAATAACTTTATTTCATATGTGCTCATAGTACTATGTTTTTGTTCCCTTTCTCTATTCCTATGGATAAAACATTGGTTAGGATGACTTGGTGTCTAATGTGTAGTGCTGCACATGTAACCCTGAGTGCCAAAAGGAGCACTGACTGCTTGCTACTGCTGCAAACACATTAAAGGTACCTTTTTGGAAATCCTCACACCACAGGATGGCAGTGACATGTCTTTGTGTCCTTTTCTTTTAAAAACTTTAACAAAGCTGGTGCAGGGTCTGGAGCACAGGTCTGATGGGGAACAGCTGACGGAACTGGGGGGGGTTCAGTCTGGAGAAGAGGAGGCTGAGGGAAGACCTCTCACCCTCTACAACTCCATGAAAGGAGGGTACAGAGAGGGGGGATGAGTCTCAAACCGAGGAACAAGCAACAGGACAAGAGGGAATGCCCTCAAGCTGTGCTAGGACAGGGTCAGACTGGCTCTTAGGAAGCATTTGTTTACAGAAGGGGTTGTTGGGTGGTAGAAGGGGCTGCCCAGGGCAGGGGGGGGAGTCCCCATCCCTGGAGGGGTTGAAGAGTCAGAACTGTCAGTGTGAGGTTAAGGGTTGGACTGGAGGATCTTCAAGGTCTTTTCCAACCTTGATAATTCTGTGAAGACAGCTTATACCCAGGACTGTGCTCTTAAACTAGACCTCTCAGAGATGGAGACAAAGGAAGTAAAATGCTGAACTGAACCCCTCTCCCCTTCCTGTCTGCCCCCAGGGAGTTGTGTCTTTCAGGAGAGTAAAGGTTGGAACAGTTCCTGGGGCGCTCTGTAATCCCTCTCAGGATCAGTTTACTAAAAGCTCCGTGCAAATTGAAGTGGCAAGAGGTGAGATGAGAGAGGGGCCATGTCAACTTAAAGTGGTCAAAAGAAACACCCACAACTGTGCTCATCCAGTAAGGAGTAGCTGTTCAGGAACTGAAGCCACACCAGCACTGTTACTCATTTCAGTTACTGTTTGCTCCACAGGTACCAGGCCTAGGCCAGGAGTTATTTCAGCTGAGGCAGAGCCCTCCCTCTCTGCATGGGGCAGGGAAATGCCAGCCCAAAGACAGTTGTTGATTATTCCAAGCTGGTAGCATCTGAGCAGGGAAAGTCATGATGAGAGTAAGGAAGTAGTTGTGTTACTCTGCAGCAGCTCTTCCCTAAAGCCTCACAAAAGCAGATGTGAGCAAGGACACAGACATCATCTGCTTCAGTTGACCCAGTTTCCCCCCTTTAGGATACAAACTGCCAAGAGAAGTTGTTTGAGTATAACAAACTCACCCCATACCTGGAAGGGAAACAGCCCTTAAAATTAATTTTGCTCAGACAGTAACTTCAGGCCCCTTCTCTGACTTCCTCACATCTGGGAGAAAGGCCTGCATTAAACTTGCATCCACAGTAACAAGGTGAAGTAAAGCCACTCCAAGCAACAGCCATAGAGAATTAACTGCCATTTACTGTAGCAATAAATCATATTTTTACAATAAAGATTTTACAAATACATCCAAAAGTTAATACCAAAATAAACCCTTCTAGAACTTTGCCAGTCATCTGTTCTCTGTACAAATACATACAAGGCAGAGGTAGCTTCAGAGGCCATAGCAGCACAGAGAGTGGCTTTCAGAAAGTGTTGTGGGCTTAAAGCATGCTTAGAAAGCAACTACCAGTACATTCAGAGAGAGGGAGGGAGCTGAGAGGAGAGCCCGGGAGGGAACACCCAGCCTTGGCAGCAGAAGGGGTGTTTTCCAAAAGAGCACTGCAAGCAGGTTCTGCTCTGCAGGGACTAAGTAACTATTTTAATGAAAGAAAAACACCTCTCCTGAAAAAAAGGTTCAGGACAAACACACCTGCATGAGGGGGGCTTTTTTATTTTGGTCTTTAAAAAATCCACTTCTTACCCCTTTCTATACCCTCTCTAAGCCTTAAATTGTTCATGACAGGATACATACACTGCACAGGTGTTCTGGCCCTGGGGGCAGCAAGCACCTGAGTGGGCTGCTCTCAGCCTCCAGCTGTCACAATATAGTCTTTTCTCCACCCTTGTCACTTCTAAAGTGTCAGTAAAACAGCAGCTTTACACAGATTTTCCTGTACAGCCATGAACAGATGTAGCTCCTATGGCAAATACCTGGAATGGAGAACACCAGCCCTGCCCAGCTGCTGTACCCCACTCCACTGCTCCTCACCTGAGGCAAAATTCTATTGGCTTCCTATTCTCAGCAGAAATTCTGACATTTAACCAACATATGTAAGTAGTTCGGATTTTTTCCTTCAACTCTAAAACAGCACCATTAAGGAAAAAGGTGGCAGATTATGTCAGCTCCTCGAGTATCTCCCTCAGGCACACCAGTGGAATTGGGCTTCGCTTGGAGAAGGCAAAGGTCAGGAGGAAGGCAGCCACCCCGAAGCCTGGCCCAGGTGTCAGAGCCAGCCCCTGCTTCTGGCCACTGCGTGAACAGACGCCTGGCACTGCTCGATTGTCTGCTCCAGCTGCGCCAGCTGGCAACAGCCAACTTCCAACCTCGCCCTAGGGAGAAGATACACAGGTTATCAGGGCACCAGTGACCCATTTTACAGACAGAAACATTTCCCCATATTCCTTTAAAACAAAATTCAAAAGGATACTAATACCATGCTTTAACTCTGACAAAGGCAGAGAATACTCAGTACCTCTGGAAATCCAAGCATTTTTACCTTTATAGGAAAAGATCACATGTAGTACAGAGCTGGCTAATCACTACATGTTCCCAGGTGTATCCTGCAATGAAATCTTTAACTAGGAACAGCCTAAGTGCCACTGAGCAGACCGACTTTAGTTCAGTCTTCTCAACCCAAAACTCAAACCTCCAAATACAAAACATTGCTGGTCTTTACTGAATGTGTTTAAGCTGCAAATCAACTATACATTCCCTACAGGTTTATATGTGGCAGATAATAGAAACAAATTCTACCCACAGTTACAACCCAGTCAGAGACTGATTTTAGGCTTCTGGGACAATTGACTTCAATCTTTTGTCAAGTGGCTGCAACACTTGTTCTTCTCACACTTGCCCAACATTTGTAATTTTTCTGATAATCTGCGGAGTATCACTGACCAGTGGTGACATTTTACAAGCTTATGCTCACACAAGTTAAATATTATTTAAATCAGCTACTCCTAAAGGGACTTCAGATCACATACTCAATATGGGACACCTGCACTCAGGAAAAAATACTATGAGAAACATTTTTTTGGAAACAACCCCCTAAACATGCATTTCTAGTAACCACAGCAATTCCTGTTTTGGAACATATGGCAGGCTGACAAACAGCACTACATGTTTAAATACCAGCCATTCTGGTTCAACAAATGCAAAACCTTCCCAATTTCAATATTCTTCTGAAAGAAAGTGAAACAAAGCTTCTGTCCCTCAGAGTGCTTTAATAAAGGTTGGCAAAACGACCAGATCCAGGATGTCGTTTCCCCACATCTAGTTGCATAAAAATCACGTGTAGGCACTGAACTGTTGCAGGGCTGCTGCATTTTTATTTGCTCACACAGTTTGACCAGTCTTTCCTATGCAGTTTGCTTTTTTCCCAGCTGCAAACCTGTCAAAATGCCTGCTGTGGTTTTTCTATTTGAATTTGGAATTAGATGGTAAAATTGGTTAAATGGTAAACAGCACGAAAAAAACCCAAATCCTCATTTCTTAATGACTTGAGTATTTTGCAAACACATCAGCTATTGCACTTAGGGAGGGGGAAAAAAAAAAAAAAATCAACCACAAATAAGGTAGCTGAATTCTAAGAGTTTAAAAAAATGACCTCACACATACATTAAAAAAAAAAAAAAAGTTATTTTAAACAACTAGCACAGATTCTCATGTTCTTGCTTGTATAAGCATGATGTGTAAGAGAGATGCAAAAATTCCCCTTCACCCCCCTGGGGAAAAGGAGCCCACACTCTGCCCCGAGCATTGTGAATCCCTTCTGCCTACTCACACCCTCCCAACAGCCCCTTGGCACACAAGGTACAGAGCAACTAGCAACCACCCTACACGTTATCCCCTGGCTCATTTCTGCAGGCTCTGGTATTTCCAGCCAAAGGTAACCTCTGAGGAGCAGCAGCTACTGGGAGTGATTTGGTGGTTTCCTACTAGGAAAGTGGCTACAGAGCTTGAAACCAGTTGTCCTGACTCAAAATACAATTTAACACAATTTTGAACTAATAAGGGATATGGCAGAAGACAAACTAGGCAGTTGTGATGTGTATATCATCAAGAAGGCAATTTCCATAACACCCAAGAAGTAGCAGTGGCTTTTGCTCTAAAGCTGCTAAAACCACAGATTTTATACGACTACCTTAAAACAGCCAAACCACAGCTCAGGGAAAAGGCAGAGCTCCTTTTTACTTTTTGCTTTTCACTGTATTATGTAAAGGTAGTTTTAAAAAATAATCAGCATTTAAGGGTCACTTACATCAGCTTTCTTGACAGAATGGGGATTTTGGAAGGTTCAATTCAAACGATCCTTCATATATTTACATATAATGTATTTGCACACAAAATAAATCTCTTGCCTACAGTGATTTATTGTTTGAAAAGAAGAACCTAAACCTGATTACGTAGAAAACATTTTGTAACTTTGTTTTCCTAAAAGATACTTTCTCAAAAGACCAGTTAAAAGGTCCCCCCCAAAAAAAAGAAAAAAAGCCAAGGTAAGTTATGCAAGTGCAGCCTGAGGGCTACCAGACCAGCCTCTGAAGCAATTTTTTTTCACTATGCTGAGCACAAATTTACACCAATTATTTTCTTTATGCCTGTATCAATGCAGATTAACAAATCTAACTGCTAGATATGTTTCCTTTGTTTTTTTTCTCCACTTGATCAACTTCTTTTCATACATATTTTTAATGCAGTTCAAACTAAGGGATGCTTTTAAAAGGATACACACTATATCCTGCCAGTATTTTTTGCTCTCACAAGCAGCAGAAGGTTGGCAGATCAGCCCAGCAGAGCAGGAGATAAATTCTATCACAAAAAGCAGTCTAAACATACAGCATTTCTTCAGCAATAACCTGTAGCACTGGCACAGCTACGCTGACAGAAGAACATCAGTCTTCCTGATGAACAAGCTCCATCCATCAGCTACAAACTGCACCGTGACTCATTTTCAACACTGGTGAGTTAGGCACTACCAGGCAGCCAGTAGTAAGCACACTGAGTACTTACTCAACCTATCAGTCAAGTCCGCATACGGAGCCAAGAGTGAGTATCTTGATGCCTCAGCAGTGCACGTTACAACCCCTCTGCAACAGTGAGTGCCATGACAGTTTTCAAGCAGAGCTCTTAAAAACTAGTGCAGAAAAATAATTTGTCTGAGACATGAATATTTCATTACCCTTATCTCAACTACCATTTTCCCTACATCATTCTGGTGGCCACTGAGTAATGGTAAAAATGGTAAATGATGCGACACACACTTTTACGCCTAAGAACAGTGTAACAGGTTAATTCAAATGTAGTTACTACAGAAAGTAGAAATAATGTTAAATAGCTCAAAAGAGACTGTTTCTGCACCCTCCAAAACATGCTGGATTTCAAATAACTTCCACTGAAACGTGTGATGCTGGTGTGGGACACCCAGGCCAGCAGAGGGGGGTACAGGGCACCGAAAAGGACTGTCAAGAAACAGGGGAAAGGATAAGGTTTGCAAAGGATGCAGTTAGCACTCCCCAAGTACCCACCAAGCCCTGCCTAACACAGACACCTCCACCTCCTCTGGCATTTCGCTGTGAGGGGCATGCACCAGGTGGAAGAATAAAAGGAGCAGTGTGAAAGTCACATGCAGCTTTCAAGAGATCTACTTAAGACACCCAGGCCTCCAAACAGTGTATTTTCTTAGTTCAGTCAAGATCATACGCTTGGAAAATAAAGCCTGAATAATTCTGTCTACCACTTACCCTTTACATCAAATTGTCAATTATTAAAAACACATAAACTGTTCACTGTTCAACAGTGAAAATTCAAAAGTCTTAGAAAGTACTAAGCAGGTAACTCTAAGTCTTCACATTAACTGTTTGCCATAAAAAACAGAGTGACCTCTCTGAAACTCTTCCTGCAACCCAGCAACCCCACTGCCCACAGCACCGGCTTGAATGGGAAGGGAGGGAGGAAGAAACAAGGGCTTTAACTAAACATCCCTCGTTCTACCTAATTCTGCTGCTGAAGCATCTCAGCACTGTGGTATGTTCCCACTATTCATAAAGCAAAAAAACTTAATTCCAATTAAAGATTCACCAGGCTAGGATGTTCCTAAACCCAGTTTATCAGGCCTGAAGAGGCAGAAATGCAGGGCCAGGCCTGCTGTTTGCCACCCCATCCACCCCTTCTCAGGCCACTGCCTTGCCCCCAGTAGTGCTGGTAACTGTGACACAGCTGACTTGGTCCGACAGACCTTTCTTGTATTGTTGCAGGGCTTTGATCTCACCACATCTTGGTCTCTGCCAATATAAGGATGGGGGACATGCGGAAGCAATGGTGGGGCAGGGTGACCCCAACCAAAAAAAAAGGGAGATGTCTACGACAGGAAGGCTGGAATCTACCAGGTCACCAGCAAGCAAGTTCAGAAAAAAATTAAAAAAGTCATATAAGTTTTTCTATCAGAAACTGTTATTTTGTGAGTTTGTGGAAGATGCAAAAAATTGTTACAATGGATTTCTGGGGCAAGGTCAGTCTTCCATTTATATGCTAAAGATCTGGGCCCCAGTCCTTGGCTGGCATCTTCTAAATGCTGCTGCAATACCAAAGCCTACAGTGGCACTTAGGGAATCAAAAGCAGTGAGAACTGTGCATATAGCTTTGGCTATTTAGCTCTAAGTAGTCCTTCGTTCCTTCTCCCAATAAGGAAAAACCCTTTGGATCAGCATTTCAAGATGAGAGTGTCTTTGGTATATCCTGAAAAAGGAACAGTCAGAATACAAGTATTCTAGACTGGAATTTATCTCCCAAAGAATTCAGAGGCCAGGTTGAAATAAAAACGTTCACTGGCAATCGAAACAAGGGGAAACGCTTTGTTCAGCATGTTTCTGCCAAAGCACAAGTAATTCAGCCTGCCTTAAAGCAGTCTCCTTTCCTGTGCCTTTGCTCTCGGAACACCTCTTTTTAATTGAGCACTTCTAAAACCTCATTTAGTACCTCTGCTTTATTGCATGGAATCATATTTTATTTCACTTCTGTACTACCAAATAGTTTCATTGCTGTAATAAATGAGAACAACAATTAGACACAAGTAGCACTTTGAAAATGCATGGACTGAATTTATAGCAACAGATCTTAATCTTTGCTTTGTTAGACTGATTTGTTTTCAACAGCTGTAACTTATGTGTAACAAAAATGTTGCTCTCACTCTGTACTGCTCATCCAGAAAATCAAAGTTCTTGTGAGAAAGTTTGTTTTGGCCATGAAATCTACTGTGGCACACAGAATTCACAACAATGGTCCGAGTTTTCAGACTTCCTGATAAAATATGGACCTAGGGACATCTTTCAAATACCAAGAAACTGCCATTCCCTTGTTACCCATAGCACCATGCCCAAGGCTGTATGTACGCTGTAGATTTTATACAGACAATGATGGAGATGTCCACAGACATCTGAAAATGTCAGAACTACAGAAGTGCTGGTCACCAATATAAGACAGTTAGTTAAGTTTCTAAACTACTTTGTGCTACTGATATATAGATTGAATCTCTCCCTCCCAGGATAACTTTTCTCCCCCAATCCAGCAGTTTGCACTTTCAAATTCACAGATGATTTAGAAAATCAGTATCAATATAGGCAAAGGAAAGCTTTTTAGAGTAATTCACCTACTCAGATTAAAATAATCTGCAAGCCTTTTAGACAGCCGATGGAACCATGCTTCCTACCCTGGCAAATTACAGCTAATTCATATCCATACAACAGCAGCATCAAAGAAAATATTTACCTGTGTTTTACTGTCCACTTAAGATTATTAAACAAAACATTACAGCATTTTAAAAAAACCTCACAGAACCTGGATTCACAAGCCCTCAATTACAGAAAGAAACCTTCTATGAGCCAGAAACTTTACCCTAAAGAACTTGCTTGGCACTCATTTTTAGATTAATGTTTTCAAGGCCTTTAACTCAGAACAGAACAGAACATTTATTTTCCTGCAACTGAACTGTAAAAAAGCCTCCTAAAATGGAAACAAGTACTTGGAATCTCACATCTGTTTCTTTTTTTCTAACTGTACTTACAGATAGCTTAGTAACAAACAACGGCTTAATTTATGACTTTAATAATGGTGGCCACAATGTAGCACAGCAGCTGCAGATATACCCACTTTTCATGGTACAGTTCAATCATTTCAATAGCCTTGAGAATCACAGGGTTTTTTCCTCTGCTGATTTAAGCAAAGTTCTTATAATAATGAGTTCTGTTACAAGAAATACCTCCCCAAAACAGAATTTCAGTTAGAATCAAATTCATTTAAATGCAGCCTCACACTCTAGCCTGCCTTACAATGAATGCTGACCTACACTGGCCCTGTCAGCCCCTAAGCCATGAATTCAAAAGTGGCAAAGGAAAGAGGGACCAACATCTCACCCCAAAGTCAAACAGCTGAAAATCACCGTGTAGATCTAATTTTATTTTTGTCCTCTCTGTTGTAATAGTAGGTCATTAAAAAAGAAAACAGCCCCACTCATCTTCCCTATGCCCCTCCCTTATTTATCCAAAGGATTTCTCTTAGGGTATAGTTAATACAGTAATATTATATAAATTATAATTATATATAGCTAAAATGCTGTCTCAAAACCCATCTGCTGTGGTCAGCAATTGGCTTACCGATATATCTCCTGTGAAACACAGTCATAAAGCTCCTCAGCAGTGAATTTTATGCTGTTATTTATCTAAAGCAAAGAACAAAGAATTAACATAGTAATTTACAGAAGTATCACATATCGGTTAAAATTATAAAGCTGGTATAACAGATATCATTAATGTATTACCTAATAGGCCCTCAAGTTGAGGCAATACACAGAACAGTCATGCTATGGTAGTATAAAATCAAATATTACAAATTAACAATCTTGATTGCATATAATGGGAGTGATAGATATCATTTCAGATCCATTTTCTAACAAGTTCTGAACAAATTTTAAAAGAGCTTAAATAATTTTTCCTCCCCTCTTAATCTACCCTACAGCAAATGAAGTTCTGACTTGCATGAATTCTGTAAGTGCAAGTCAGTCATATGTACAGGCCCAAAAGCCAAGGATATTTTCCTGTATAGGAGAGGAGTGCAAATCTGAAATATGTCATATACCAAATGGAAAATACCTCTATTCTACTGCAAGCATTCATCTCAATTTCTCTTCTTAAAATCTTTCAGCACAAATTAGTTAAAACTTCATGAATAACTGGTAATTTCAATTTATCTTCTCTGAACTACAGCCAATATTCTTTGTAAATCTACCTAATGCAATGTACTCTCTCTTCTTAAAATTACTAGGTTAGGGATGGATGCTTTGGTGACTTCAGCTTCAAGGCTTTTTACTCTCAACAGTGAGTCATTCACAACAGAGTGCTCAGAAAGTCAAGCATGCCACTCAGATACCAGTAGAGATTTGAATAAGTTTTGGTAGGTGCCAACCAAAAATGTATTTTTATGTCTAATGCCTAACATAAGCAAATATTCAACATTCTAACTTAATGGAAACACAGTGATGAGACAGCTAACCTCCTAACTATTTTAAATGAGAAACCATAACAGGGGAATCTGACAAAACATTAAAGAAAACTTCATACCTCATTGCTTGTGAGGAAGTTATAGAGTGTCCAAATATCCTGGAAACTACTGGCTGGGGTCAAAATTCTGAAAAAGAAAAGTTTAGGGATTTTTTTAAAGCAAGTATAAAAGGATACTTTGGAAGAGTTAAGGAAATAGTAATAAATGTTTCATGAAAAAAAAAAATCTAATTACCTTCTTTAAACAAAAAGGAAATGCTAATCGTTGAAGAATTTTCCCTTCCATCCCTTTCCACTCCTCTAAAAGAATTAAGTGAGCTTATTATTTCTGTCAGGACTTTCTGTGAAGGTTTTTCCTAATTAAAAATTCAGCTGATGTTTTTATGAGCAATTTCTCTATACAGATGGGAAGAAAACCAGCCATAATTAAAAGCCTTTTGTTTCACATAAGCAAAGCCTGCTGTACTAATGTGGAGCAACAGAAAAGTGAGACGTAATACAAAACTTTCCCACACGAGCTAAAGCTTTAACTCATTCCCTCCAGTACTCTGATGTACAGCTCAAATTCTATAATATACACACCATATTTGCTACTTCTAATAATAACCAATTCTCCCACTGAGAAGTGAAAATCAGATTTGACAGCTGAAAAGAGGTGTCTTTATGAAGAACCTAGTATCATGTGAAATACTGGTATTTTAGCCACAAATGCACACAGCAGCCAGTGACATCTCAAGCTTTCCCAAAATCTCGTCCTCATTTGCCACGTTAGAGGTGGATTTATGATCCGCAGAAGAGAGCATCAGCTTTGGTCACACCGTAAGGTCTTGTGAAGTTCTGAGAGATGTACTCCCTCCTCTGCAAGGCTCCAAAAATTATCATATAAGGGAGTGATTATCTCAAAGATTAATTCTCCTAATCTGTTTAAGCAGATATAATGCAGTTAAAACTCAGCGTAACTTCATTTGCGTTCACTAGGAAAATAACAGAACCATTACAAAATGTACATTAAAAACTACATCAAAAACCATGTAACACTTCTGCCTTATGTCAAGTTTCAAGTATGTAAATAATGAATTACAAAAGTGACTGGATTTAAAAAAAAAAAAAAAAGAAAAATCTTTTGGGGAAGCTTTATTTACTTTCCCATGGGAAAGTGTCCAAATTCTCCCCTCCTTAGGAACTGGAAAAAAAAACAAAAAACTGTCAGAATAAGTGAAAAATCCCAGTTAAAGATGATACTGTATTTTAAATAGGCTGGAAGACCATGACACACTGCAGGATTTATGGTAACTAGGAAGTCCGCTGCTTATTTTCATCATGATTTTACATAGGAATTATCACTGTTACAAAAATTAGTCACATGTTCCTTCCCCCTTCGTAAGGACATGTACTCAGAATTTTTTTCTTAAACTAAAACCTTAACCTGTCAACTAAAAGTCAGCAAGAGAACCAATTGTCTCGTTGTCCTAAAAATACCTCGAAGCCTTCAACTGCTTCCTCAGTGAGAAAGCTATCAGCTTTGACAGCGTAAAACCCCAGCAGAGACTATTTGGCAAACATCCTTGGAAACACTGGGAAATCTTGGCAACTCAGACTGCATTGCAGCTAAGATTCCCACCAACCAGCTCCATGTAGCTATTAGCCAGCCACCCTGTCTGTGTGGGACAATACATCAGCTTTAGCTATCGTATCAGTCATCTGCAATATCAATAAATGAGTATACCCGAGCCTGGGAAAGCATGATTTCTATTGCTGATGATTTTTGTACCACTCTGCCTTCTAGTTCACGCAAAAAGGAGGAAAGCTTGCATGTCTGTTTTCCTAAAACTGAGTACAGAACCATACAGAACACAAAAGGTAAGATATTATTAACAACTTCACCTGAAGGCCATCCCATGATGCTACACAGTATGTTGGAGCAAAATCAGTTCATTGCTGTATTTTTCCTGCTGTGCCAAGGACACAGATACAAAGCTGCTGGGTAAGGCTTATGAGGAGCAGCTGAGAGGACTGGGGGGGTTTAGTCTGGAGAAGAGGAGGGTGCAGAGATGAAGGGATGAGTCTCTTGAACCAAGTAACAAAAGACAAGAGGGAATGGCATCAAGCTGCACCAGGGCAGGGTCAGACTGGTTCTTAGGAAGCATTTCTTTCCAGAAGGGGTTGTCGGGCGTTGGAATGGGCTGCCCAGGGCAGGGGGGGGAGTCCCCATCCCCTGGAGGTGCTTAAGAGTCAGGTCAACATAGAGTTTAGGGATGTGGTGTAGCTGGAAACCGTCAGTGTGAGGTCAATCATTGGACTAGATGATCTTCAAGGTCTTTTCTGACCTAGATGATTCTGTGATGCTACAGCTGGGCTGCCAGAGGGAAACTCATCCAGGCAAGCTTCCTACAGGAAGGATGGAGGGTGGGGAAAAGGGTGGCTGGTGAGATAAAAACCTGTATTAATTATAGGTTTCTCGATTCTGTATAAGAAAAATGTATGTCCAAGCTACAAAGAGGTGAAAGAAAGAGACTGAGAGCAGAGTGGAAGGCAGGCTTAAACGGTACTGCCTTTCCCTCTGAGTGTGGGGCATCTCCATGTGGCTATTTCTGTCCACCTGACCCAACTTCCCAGGGCACAGAAGTGGCTAGAAACTTCAAATTTCACTTCGCTGTTCTTAGAAAGGCTACATCCGAAGAAAACCAGTTTGAAAGTAATTTTCCATGCAATATTAGTCTGGAATTTCAAGGTCATTTTTAGCCCTCTGGTTTTGCCCAGACCTTTAATTCTACTATTCCTATGAAAGCAGCCAACATGCCTCCCACATGTCCTTTCCTCTCACAAATGTAACACTGTGAAAGCAGCAGCAACATCATATACACTAAATTTGGCCTTTTCTCACTTAAGGGAGCACTTTTCAAAGATTACTGGAGAAAGTAAACAATTTATTTATTAAACTTTCTGAATCTTGACATCAGTTAGGATGCTGCAGACTTCAAAATTATTCTACTGCTGTTTCCGAGACTATGCAGTCTATGCTCTCAACAAGGTAACCCTCACCCCTCACTGTATTCATTTCTTATGAGGACATAAAATTGAAAAACATACTTATTTTTGTACTGCTGACCAAAGCATCCTAGCAAACTGCTAACTTTATCAGTTTCACACACCATAAGTTATCAGACCCCAGGTGGATGTACAAAGAGTTTTTTCAAAAAAAACCAAAGTAAAATGTGTAAATAAGCATACAAGTAACTTCACATTAAATCCTGTAACTTATTTTATAGTATTTGCTTGGATTACGACAACAGTTGCTTCTGGGTTTATGACATAAAATGAGAAGTCTGACATTTGGCTCAAAGCTTTATAGTATCTCCAAATAAAAGACATTTGTTGTTTTCAAGGAAGAAGCACTGCTACACACAGAGTACTGTACTGAAAAGAAGCTGGTAAGAGAAGAGCTTGCACCGTAACTTCCTCCACAAATTCTTAACAGGTCAGCATTCATAAAACATGCTTATTGCTGTTTTCAACTAAACAGGAACTGGGATACAAGCTTCAGTCTTGGAATATATTTTTCTGTAGAAAACTAACATGTTCCTGTCTGCAGGGCAGTGATTCCATACAACTGGTGCTGTCTACTGGTTTTATTCTTCTTATGTTCATCTCCTGTAGCCACCATTCTGTGTTACAGAAAACAGAAATTTCTAAGAGAAGTTGTTCTTTGGGAAATCTGGACATGTTTGTATGCACATCAATTCTGCATCTATTACTTTATTAAATCAAGTTGATCTCATTTTCATCAAATCTTCTCAATGAAAAAAAAATCTGCCTCAGCTATAGAACTATGTCCAGAGAACTCCCTCTAAATTAATAATACATGAAGCAAATGGGCTCTTATGTAAAACTCTTCTAACGAGCAATGTGAATCTCAGTACTGTGAGCACTGCAATCTTAACCACTGCTTTTTCTTCTCTCTCAATGTGACATCATACATACTTCAAAAGCAGAGGGTGGAAATCCACTGAATCACTTTGTCCTTCCTATCAGCACAGCCATACAAAACTAAACTATAAACAATTCCATGCTATGTATGTACTTCAGCTGTTAATTAATTCAAACATGCTCTGAGCAGGTGTCAGCAAGGGTGCTGGATTGCTACTAAAATGCAATTTGTTGATCAGGTTAACAACTATAGTATGGTTCTATGCAGTTTTCTGAAAAAATCTGGTATATAAAGTAGAGAGAAGTGTGTCATAGAAAGACACTAAAAGGGACTATGGGTACTAGCTACAAAACGGAGGTTACAAATTGTTCTAGGGACAGAATGGAAAAAGGTGAGAGTCAGAATTTAGTGATTTCTCTCATAAGCAATAGGGCCTCCCAAACCACTTAGAATGTTTCTTTACCTACTGTCCTGTCACTCATCTGATGCCACATGCATGCATAGAGTGTGAGATACAATAATCAAAAATGGGAACAGATAGGAGATAGGTCACAATGGGGTTCCTCCCTTGCGCACAGAGAAGACCTGGGAAACAAACAAAGCCCATTTAGAAAGAATCCGAAAATTAACTTACCAAATAGAAGGAAAAAAACCCAACCAACCCACAAGACAATCTGGCAGTGAAAGCAGGTCAGCCTGCTAGCTGCTCTCAAACACTAAAATTCTGAGCAACGACTACTAAATCACATGGATAAAAGTCATATGAGACTACATGGTAATGGCTCTCAACCTGGCCAAGCCAAGTGTTTGTCACACTGAGCCATTCCTCTTTAACAGTTCTATGTAATCACCTGTGGCGGTAAGACTGTCATAAAGCACTAACCAATTCAGTAAACCTGTGCAGTTAATCAAAAAGGTGTATGACTTAATTGTGTAAGAGTCAACATAACCCATTAAAATCCCTATTTATCCTCACTGTCAGAATTTCAGGGAAGAAAAAAAGATGAGAAATGGGAAAACAAAACTTCTCTGTGGCTTATTAACAATTCCTCATCACACTGCAATGCAGTAAGGGCCTCAAACTGGTGTTACAATAACCAACACAGGCCAGAGTTTTGTTCAGCATCAACATACTGGGAAATTAAGGGGATTTTTTCCCAGAAGAAAATCAAGCTCATGCCTTCTTTTATTACGGAAGT